GATTTATTAAATCTGGTCATATAAATCAAGGGGTTTCTGCATGCAGAATACTTATGAAAAATCTGCCCCCTGTCGGGACTGTTAACTCCTTGAAAATACAGTCCCATATGCCTCTGAAGAAAAAAACCCAAGCACCTTGCCTGCAGTGCAAGAAACTCAATCTTCTTGCCAATGGACCCCGGGTAAGAGCTTTCTCAAACAAGTGCTACGAAACACAATCTTTAATTGCTCTTTTCAGAGCAGAACTAAAACCAGAGAACCTGTGATAAAAAAAAGAAACCCTCCAAATGTTTGTGAGACGACCTAGAGATTTTAAAATTAAAATACATTTTAGAAACTACCAGTATGTCACCAGGAAACAAAAATCCTGAGTAAGAAACACCCAAAGAAACTTGACTATAAGAACCTTAATCCCACTTCCTAAAAGGATACAGATAATGCACCATGGACATTAGGAAACATTTCTTTCTTGAGGGGGTGGTCAAACACTGAAACAGGCTTCCTAGAGAGGTGGTTGATGCCCCAAGCCTGTCAGTGTTTAAGAGGCATTTGGAAAATTCCTTTAACAACATGCTTTAGCTTTTGGTCTGCCCTGACATGGTCAGGCAGTTGGACTAGATGATAGTTTTTCTTCCCTTCCTACTGAAAATATTCTATTCTATTCTGTTATTCTATTCTATTCTATTCTATTCTATTCCAGAGTCACGATTCTGTGGGCTAACAACGAGATGAACAAATTGTGAAGGATACACTACTGTTCAAAGCCAATTGATGCAGCAGGAACCTGAGCTATATGGTTGCACTTTCTTTCTAATGAGAATGTCTGAAACAAAGGAGGAGACTGTGTCCATAGTTCCGAGAAACTACTCCAGATACTGTCACCTTGATTTTAGATGATGCAATTTGTTTTTTCTTCCCTTTGGTCTTATTACCTGTTATTTGCTCTCTCAGTGTGATTTACCACTAAGCACAGGAAGTATTATCAAATAATGATCACATCCCCTTCAACTTCTTTGTCTGTCCATGCATTTTCTGAAGAGAAGATTTTTGGATGATTTCAAGAATTTCAGTGCTTAGAAAATTATTCTTTACATGTGAGATACCTATGTAATGAATATTAAATTTGGGGGATCAGCAAAAATATAAAAGGCAATTTTTGGACTCAGGATAATTCCCCTGAAACTTTTTGTGAAAAATAAGAGTGTTCAGTGGAAACTCATCTATTTAAAAGATTCCCCAGACAGTGAGTGGCAAAACCCTTCAGAAGAGAAATAGTTCAGCAGTGGGACCACACCGCTCTCGGGTGGCTCAAGCAGTCCCAAAGAACTGCAGAACAGACAAGGAAAATAAAAATGGGAAAGGTCTGTGCTAAAAGCAGGTTCTGTATTTAAAATCAGAGCTAATAATCTAAAAGGCATGGCCAGGCCTCTTTACAGTGAAGACTTCTTCCAGCAACCCTCAAAATGCCGCCCCTCACAGACCAAATGCAAAAAGGGACAACAGCTCAGCAAACTGTAATGTTAAAGCTCCTTCGTCTGCATAAGGCATCTGTTCTGCCTCTGAATGTACGTGTACAGCGTATCACAGAGCTAACACTCAGCACCTAGAATTTGTAAAAGCATGCATATATAAGATGCCACATACACAAGAACAACGTCAGAAGTTCAGCCGCTGGCAGCAGCCGGCTCCTAGGGTAGTGAGTGGTGGTGGGTGGCAGGACTACTGGGCGTACGCACTGAATCCTGGCACGTGGTGCAGGCAAGGTGGTGCATGGACTTCTCCTGTCACTGGAAGGAGGGACAGGGCCCACCTAGCCAGCACAGATGGGCACTGCCACATGGATAACATCCACTGCACATTTCTCATGCACTGTGGATTTCTGCACTTCGTCAACGCAGCCCTAGCACGTACCAGCAATAGGTGGCACATCTGAGGGGAGCTCATTCTTCAGTGTAACCTACAGGATGTGGACAAAGCTCAACACCCTCCCTCTCAATCTACAGCTCACGTCATCACCCCTGGACATGCTGGATGTGTTCTTCATTAGCTGCTCTGGCACACAGTGCACCCATCATCTCTGCTGAAGACGGAGGGAAGCTGGTACTGAACAGCAGGGAGGCAGTTACTCTTTACACTGCTCATAGCTATCCTTGAAAGTGCCAATGCCTCTGTAGCATTCTCTCTCAGTGCAGCATTGAACAGGTGAGCTTAACTCACAGTTTTCTGACCTCATCACAGTTTTCCACTGATTCAAGTGTTGCTGCAAAGATGGAGACTCTCTCTTTCACAAGGAGCCACGTGGAGAAGACAAGAGGCACTTGGAAAGACAACAGATAGAAGTTGCACTGGGAGAAGTTTCATCTTGATAAAATAAATATTTTTTTTTACACTGGGAACAATCAATCACTGCAACAACCTCCCCAGGGACGTGGTAGAGTCCCTGTCACTGAAGGTTTTCAAGACGTGATTGGACAGGTTGCTAAAGGATCTCATCTAGGCTCCCTTTCCCACAAAAGGTTGTAGCAGATTATCTCTGGAGGTCCCTTCCAAGCTGGTCTGTTCTATGAGCCTAACCTAACTGGTAGTTGGCATCAAAACAAAGTGGAGGAGAAGCTCACATGGGCAGGCACCTCTATCACCTTGGAGAAAGCAACCAAAATCTGTCCCCAGTAAGAGCTACCTTTATGTGGCTCAGTGCACGTGGCTTCCCTCCCATGCTGTCCTCCTGGAGACAGCAGTAACCAGTACGTTATACCAACTCAATTAACTTTGCACTAGAGAAGAGGCAAAGAGGCATCCTTACACTTGACTTAGAGCTGGACGTGAGTATAAAAGGACCAGCCAGAGGTACTGCACAGTCTCCCACTGCCTTCCTCAGGTGAGCATCTAAGATTTGAGCACCCTCCTCCCCATACATACACATACCACCTCAGCGGTGACTGTGCCCACGACAGAGAAGAAAGCCTTGTGCAACAGTTAAGCACAGAGGTGTTTTAAGAAGCCACTTATTAAGTAAGAGAGTAAGCATCTGCAAGCATCCTTCCAGTTCTTTTCTGTGCAAAGGCAAGTGAGCCTCAACCATAACTGGACCAGCTATTCAATTCTGCAAAATCAGGAGCTCCAGTCACTCATGCAAACAGTGTTTAAGAACATATTTAAGAATACGAAGATGTCACCTTTCATCCACTAACTACTGTCTCTCAAGAGACCCAGAGTGACTAAATGGATATTTTTAACCTCTAAGATCTGGACACCCTTGCCCACCTTTACACACAGAACATGACACTGCATGTTCCTTGTGGGACAGAAGCTCTGACAAGGGTTGCTTTACTTAGTCCAGGCTCAGCACAAAAAAAGAACATTTTCTTGTGAATATGAGATATATTAGGATGCTAGCGTGATTTCAACAGCCAGTTTTAAAAATTGTTTGTACCTGCAGCATGTGTACTTCAACATGTAAATTCCCACTAACAGCCTTTTAGAGGAAGATTTGAAGAATTCCTCTCATTCCATAAATATTTGAACACACCTATACTCTTGAGTACATGAAGATGTCTTTTAAGCACTAACATGAAGGGATGCATGAACAGAACCTGTCACAAACAAACAATGCTGACAGCAGCTGGAAAACAAACCTTTTGGGGCTGGTAGTCCACGGTCTAATCCACAAATTGCTATCTGGAATACTGCAGCATCAATAAACATTAAAGAAGTAAGACAGTAAGCATCTCAAAGCATCTTTCTAGTTCTTTTTTGTGCAAAGGTAAGTGAACCTCAAACCACTGGACCAACTATTTGATTTTAATATAAACATTAAATGTAGGTAATATTCATTGACATTACCTAGTTCTTGAATTGTGCTTAGTTTATACCTATAATTAAAAAATGAGGTAGACAGAAATAGATTAGGTTACTACAATATAAGCAATAAAATAACGTAGTGTATACTGCTTAACTGTCTTTCAGGTACTGCTTTACATTTCATTTCTCCAGGACTAAATTTGCTCTGTTTTTCTTTTTTCCTCAGCAAAACCTCTCTAGTAGAAGAAAAAATGCACATATATTCTACAGGCAAAAGATGTGAGATTGTCTGATCTGCAATAGGGCCTTCTTGTTTATTTTTTTCTTTTTTTTTTCCTTTATTTTGTTTGTTATTAGTTATTTCAGCTATTAAGAAAAAAGATAAACAAAGATAAACTATGCTTAGCTTGAATTTAATTTCATAAAGGTCAGTTGTTTACCAGTATTTCCCTAAGAACCATCTTTGATATTTTCCTTCTTTATAATTCCTTATTCAAAAGGTACTGCCTATACCCTGTCATTATGTTAAATTAATGTGACTTGATTTTGATCAATGTTCCTGTTAATCACAGAAGTTATCCAATCTCACTAAACTAAAAGAAAATTATTTCCTATTTTGCATGGGGAAGATAATAAAACTGACAGGAGTGTGTGGTACAGACCATGTTCTCTGAGCTTCTGTGTTTGCCTGTGATTTTCTTCAGTCACAGCTCTGAATTGGGCTACTTTAGAAGGCAGGATACAAAAATGTATAATCTGTTGAC